TGTGTTTGGTGGGATTGCAAGGGCATAATTTATTTTGAGTTTCTCCCCGCTGGTCAAACGATTGATTCGGACAAGTACTGTCGCCAATTAACCAATCTGAATCGAGAAATCAAACAGAAACGTCCGATTTTGTCAAATCGCAAGGGCGTAGTCTTTCACCACGACAACGCAAGACCACACGTTTCGAGACAGACGCTGCGCAAACTGAACAGCCTGCAATGGGATGTCCTAACTCATCCACCGTATTCTCCTGATATCGCACCTTCTGATTATCACTTGTTCCGGTCACTGCAAAATCATTTAAATGGAAAAAAAATTGACTCTTTGGATGCCTTAAAAAACGTCGTGTCTTCGTTCTTCGAATCTAAACCGCGCAGTTTTTATAATCGGGGCATCCGTATGCTGCCAGAACGTTGGAAAAAGATTATAGACAACGATGGAGAATATATCATTGATTGAATAAAGAACTTTTGTTTGCCTAATCACTGTCTGACTTTTACTCACAAACTCCGCATGCACTTTTGCACTCACCCAATAGTATAAGTAAATATATATTGTTAATATTCACACCGAGTAATTTTTTCTCTCTAAGATATTTTTCCTCTCACGATCAATGTGAGAACTTTCTTACGCTTAACTACACCGTCAAACGTTTGCGTATCATCGAGATATTAATAGAATTCGCAACGACGCAACATTAAACCGAAATTATTATGCTCCCAACTCGGATTATTCCTCTTTCCCCTAACTCGGCAGATTATCCAGAATGCTCAATCCCCGCCCGTTACATCCCCTTTACCCTGTATTTTTGCATTGCCCAAAGCACGCCTTATTCAACCCCATTTCCCAAACAAGCTCCCAATTTTCACGCAAGCCCGGCGCGTTCCAAACGTCACCGAAAAGAATCACACTCGCGTGGTACGCTTCGCTCATATCCACCGAATATCCACTTCTCCTACTGCTATCATTAACGAATCCGATTGCACCCTCGGTCTACATAATAAGTCATTGCGCTAACCTCGCACTGCTCGCACGCGACGGTGGCGTCGCGCGGCTCTCCCTCGCACATCTGGCATTGCATCCGCGTGTTACGCGACTCCTGATACTTGTCAACGATGTGCTGCATCGCCCGATACTTGGGCAAATTGTGGGCACCGCCCTCATCAAAGTAGACCGTCTTCTGGCAGACGGGGCACGAGAGACAGAGCGTGCCGCCGGACGGCGGGAAACCGCCGTTGCCCGGGGTGCCGACGTAGCTGCCCGGTCTCGAGCTGGTCGACGTGCTGCTGCACACCACGCCGGAGTCGGTCTCCGACAGGATCGAGAGTTTGTCGGCTTCCTGGTCGGAGCCGGGTGCGTTTGACGAGTCGGCGGTTGACTCTGGCGGCGAATCCGGCGGCGCTTGCAGGTTCACCGCGCACGACAAGCACAACGCGTGCCAGCACGGCAGCAACACCGGTTCCACGAACAGCTCCTTGCAGCAGGGACAACGTAGTTCGTCCTCCATTGTGGTTGCTCGTCGTCCGTCAATCGAGTCTCTAGGTCGAGCGGCTCGGATCACCGGTGGATGGAATATACACGAAGAGTTCCTTCAGGATCACCCGTAAACGCGCGCGTCCCGATGACAGGCAATGCCCGCCGAAGGTCTCCGTTGGAGCTCCTTTCACCGTCGGATCGCTCCAGAATCGAACGCGGAGCGTCGAGAGAGCGGTACTTGTGGATTCCGCGCGCCTTCTCGCTCCGATTCACCGTGAGCAAGCGTGCTCGAAGCTCTCGTGCTTCCTCGAAGTGCAGGAGCCTGCACGAGGGACGCTGCTGAACCTTCGTTCTATTCTATCTTCGTTCTCCCGTCTATCGATTATCAGCCTAGATCGATCTGAACTCAGGAATCACACACGCTTTCTGGTCTCTCTCTCTCTCTCATCCCCCGCTGATCCTCGGGACGTCGCGCACCGGCCTGACGCCGATCGATCGCGCCAAACGATCCTTACTCACGGCGATCTTTCTCTCTCTCTCGATCTACCTCGCTCAGCGGCGCGCTCGCTGGCGATCCATCGTGTTGCGGAACGGAGCGAACACACCTGGTAAACGGCGAGCGGCGGACTCTTCAGCGGCAGCGTGTCACCTGTCGATCGCGCGCATCGCGGGCTTTTCGCATCTTCGCGGCCAACTTCTGTACCGCCTCGCGTTGTTCCTCCTGTTCTTTCTCTTCGCCAACGCGTTCTTCGGGACGCGCGCGACAAACGAGTCCAAGATCACCGATAAATATGTCGCTCGTCGAGCGACTTTAGTAGTCGAAGCACGTCGTTATCTTGACGCGCAAGTACACACGCGGTTTCGCCGTATTAACTCGTAAATGAGCGCCGAAGACCCCGCTTGGGAGAGAACAACACCGCCAGCAAGCCGTCACCGGGTTGACTGACTCTCTCGGCGCCGAGTCAAAGAACCGTCGCGCACCGCGGCCACGCACGCTCAGGAGCGTGACCGCACGGGGGCACGAAGTGCGCTCGCGTCGCTTGCCTCCACGGTCTCCGGAGCTTCACCGAACTTCTCAGCTTCGTGTATTCCCCCTCCTTTCTCCAAGTATCTTGGAAACCCTAATGGTTCACTCGTAACTCCAGTACCACTTGTCTTACGCAAATTCGTTGATCCTTCATGAAACGAACTGTTCTCGTGCCTGCCGTTTCTTCGAAAACTACCGTCGGCATCGTACATTGTCCTTTCGATGCAACAACTTTACCGTGACTAATTGGCGTGTAGGTACAATGATGTATTATATTTATATCTGTGCTAAATGGCACATATATACGCACCAATTTCCTAACGTGTATATAAGTAATATAAATATATCTCCCATCGACGCGTATTTATTTATTCATACTTCTATCGCGCTTATTTCGTGCTCCGTAAAGGTCGATATTTTTATTTATGCGACGGGGTCATTTCTGCAACGTAAGGTTTTCGAGTAAGTAACTAAACTATGTTATTGCGAAATTAGTCACACTGTATGAAACCGGTTTCACGCTGTGGACGCATATTTCAGGGACGCGCCTACGTAAGGCGCCTACAGTAAGACGGTTTCGGGGTCAGGCACGCGAATAGATTTTATCTAAAGATGCATATAAACACCCGAAAGACACACACATGGTTCCGGTACACATCATCGTAATATAGTAGCATTTTGCTTTTTTAATTATAGTATCCTTCTGTGGATACCTGTATTTTTGTAAATGAATAGAAAATTGTTATTTCGTTCGTTATTTGCACACAGAAAAAAGTATTGGAATCAACTAAACATAATTACCTGTTATTCAGCCTCTTAAGTCGAGTAATATTTTTATCCATTTAAATATATTCTACTAATTTTAAATTGAGATTTTTTCAGTAAATATTCTCTGAAGATTAATTCTGATTCTCAATATAATGAATTTAATATTTGTCGCAATTGTTTTAACACATACAAATAAATATTTACTTATATGAAGGAAACATCATATTGTATGTAATCAATATATTTCTATTTCTAGTAAATATTTATCAAGGAATATAGAAATAACCATTTTTCTTGGATCAAATAAATCTTACACAATAAAAAATCTTCTATTAATTTTAATATGTTTCACATGTCTCAAATAGTCTACATAATATTTGTGTTAATTTAATATAGGTGAATATGTTGAATATGTTGATACAAGATGAATATGTTCAAAAGTAATGCAAGTATTATGTAAAAAATTAATATAAAATTAATATTCCATGTGTTAATCGACACTAAAGTATAAAATGTTATTTTAACACACTCGTTGAATATCAATTCGACAAAAAAAATTATATATATAAGATGAGATAGAGAAGAATATATATATAATATAAGATGATGTAAAAATACAAAATACTAAATTAACATGTGGATATGTTAAAAATTCAACAGAAATATTTTAATAAGAACCGATTTTAACAAAATGTTTTTTACCATGTATTTGAACAGTAGTATTTGAACTGTCAGTCTGTACATTCCGAACACGTTTCAAAATAGAATATCCCTCAGTTTCACTTTACCGTAGGTTTTCATTAGGCAATCATTACCCGGACGGAGCGAGAGTTCTTGCCGGAGGAGAAGAAACGATCGCTCGTATAAAACTTGAGCCATTCTCGCTTCAGCGAAGTACTCGTCGAGCGGGAATGAAGATAGCACTCGGTGGATATTTGCGGTAACTTCGTACGTACTACAAGCTGCATGGAACTTCACGACAATACCGCCGCGGCGTCGACAGAAGTATCTCGCTGCTGACGTACGAGATCATAAAACAGAAAGACAGCCGGTGCCGCTGCGGAGATGTGCAAAAGGCCCCGACACTCGAGGGAGCGGGACAATGGGAAAGAGGGTTGGAAAGGGCAGGAATCCAAAGATACCGCGCGATAATAGCGGCCAGGTGCCGCGCGCGATCCAGTGCGGCGCAGCCGGCCGTATGATTGGCCGCGTTATACAACTCTCGACCCGAAACTTTTCTTCCTTAATCAAACTGTCGGGATTCGCGTACGCGCAGGTGAACGAACCCCGGTCGAAGGCACGGCCGAACTTTCGTGCATCGGAGCATTCTATGAGCGCTTGCTCACGTAATGCATCCCCGGATCGCCCGTTGCAGGATAACGAAACTTACCGCTAATATCGCAAAACCGCGATCGCCCCGACATCGAAATTGTTTACCGGGCACCGTGCCAGCGCTATTAAGCGATCGTTTATTTATATCTTCACTCGGTCGCGCGTGGGCGAGCTTGCCCCTTCAAAATAATGCTCTTGATATACCGCGAGCGCGCGATTATTGATGGCGGGATTAAGGACGTTGCTTAGAAAAAGCGAGCGAGATGCATTTAGAGCAATGAAATATTAGCGCGCACGGGTCGTAAGATGGGGAGGTCGGCTTGATACACAGCGCCGTCGTCTTCCGCGTGATCTCGCGGATCTCTCGGATCGGTTTTTCCTCGGCGAGGATAGATTTTTCAACGTTAATAACTTTCGAGTCGGGAAACAACGACGGGGAAGATTTTTCCCGTGAAATAAACTGCGCGCGCGCGCGCGAGTGGATAACGAAATGTTGCGTGAGTCGCGAATACGACGCTGACGACGCAGAGGCAGCTCGGCGTTTTCAACCGCGTATTTCCTTTCGCGGTTACGTCTACGTTATTTCTCACGGGGATATTACTCGGTTCCCTTCGCTAAATGATAAATTGGATTACGTCTGCCGCGTAACTGCCAATTACTCTTCGGCCATTCGCGAACCGTTCGACTCCGTACGCGTTCATACATCCGCGCAACGAGTAACTGAGAAATGTGGACATGGGGTCATTTATCACCGCGAGAAACCTCGGCGAAACAATATCTACCGTGTCGTCGTCTTCGTCGTCGTCGTTGTCGTCGTCTTATCGTTTCTTTCGATCCTACGAGAATACATATGTGATACGAGGTCAAGCCAAGCTTCGAGGTCATGTACCATTAAAAGAACCACCATTGATACAAACTAGTTTCTCGACCGCAAAAAATCATATTCCAGATATTGCAGAAGAATTAAATCTGTGGACATGTTTTCGATATCGTTAATTGCATATGGAGAAGAAAAATTGGTTGAATTAATGTAACAATGAACGAACCAAACGCATTCTAATTGAAGGAAACAGAATTTCCGGTTCCTATAAAGCAAATTCACTTATAAGAGTCGGAAAATCTGTTTTTTCAACCAAACATATTTGGTTTGTTCATTGTCACGTTAATTCACTAATCTCACTTAACTAATCTCAATTCATTAACTAATATTTTTTTCTTCGTGTCTGTAAATTCTGATTATGTATCGACGGTTATCAGAAAACGAGAAATATATGATTCGAAAATTAAAGTATCGCTTATATTTATTGCGAAATAAGGAATTCCTCAACAAAATGTTTTTCAAAATGAAAAATGTGAAAAAGTATTGCAGGTTCTCTGTATCATGATAAAAATAATATCATATTTTAAATATTTTGAAATTTTATGAGTGGTTTCAAACGGATGATCTTTAGAAGTTTTTAAAAATTTTAAAATGCGACAAGATTCTCACGTGTAATGGAAGAAAAAACACCATTGATAAACCAACGCGCGCCGTCTGCGTGTTAATTGATTTCAGTCCTACATAAATGCGCTGTTTGTCGAGAAGCGAAGTCGAGTTGCCGACACGGTCATTTGTCACCTAGGAAAAAGTCGTTTCGAAATCACCGTGGCGGCCTCGATAACTCGTTGTATTTATTACGCATACTGGTATTCTCGTATCTACTTAATACTTAATACTACATTGAACCGTAAATTGTAAAAAATTTAATTATTAGTATTATCCTGATTTATATTCTGATTTATATTAGTAGAATGTGAAATAACGCGTTTCCGACATTAAACCTGAATTAATAATATGTGATTCATCACTGAATCTTATTTTCATTGCCAGTTATTACTTTCTACGGTAAATATAATCGTATTCGATCATATTGCCATATTCCAACAGAAAGAGTCTAATTTTAGTTATAGATTTTAATAGCGCGATGTACAATAGCTATTATCTGACATTAAGTTAAATTTTAAAATTCGTATTTACATGCAATTAACATTATATTTCGAGAATCAGTGGATATTTTCTTTTACTGCAAACATATTAACACTCATCAGATCATTGTTTTATGGAAAATAAATACTCATTGCCAATTGCAATCACTGCGCGATATTGAAATTATTTTTAGCTACGTTTTTCACGTTTACTGTATTTTATGTGAGAAATGTGCACGTATACTTTTGTGCAGGAAACTTACGCAATATGCTTCAGTTGCAAGTTAAATATCCATCATTAGTCACATATATATGCATTATGACGAGCCCGTACCAAGGACGCAAATAAATAAACAAATACGCATTATTTGTCCAAATAAATTCGATTTTATCGAGATATGAACGATCAAAACACTGCTATTTGAAATTTTCGATAATCGATATGTAAGTCGATGCGATACATCCAGTTGTACTGCATCACGCCGCATGAGGCGCCACTTGTCAGTACAACCGACTTTATCGGTTACTACAATCAATATAACGTTCAAGAGCTCAGGAACGGTTCTTCCAGTATCTGTGCGCGTGTTTCAAACATATAATTTTCTAGAAAAAGATCTAAAAATATAGGAAAAATTTTGTATTAATTTATATATATATATATATATATATAATATATTCAAAATATATCTTCTTGTATACACCGAAAATTTTAATTTAGTTTTAGTTATTCATATTATGTCAAAGATATAAAGATATATATGAAATCTAAGGTAATATAAGGCAGTTGGAGGCACAAAATGATCAAATATATAATTACTAAATATTTCAATTAGCAAGTATATATTACTTGCAATTATTGAATAATTAAATATAATATGAGAGTAATAAAAATAATCCAAGCTAAAATAACTTGTCGCTATGAAATTCAATCATCGATAAGAAAATGATTATATTTTCGACGATAATTAATTCAATAAGATCAACTGTCGTTAATATGTTACGTTATTAGAACAATTCTGCTAATACTCGATTTTATGATTATTGACTTAATTCATAATAAATAATTACAAATTATGAACGTAATTTATGATTGACGTTTCATCTTAACAATTTTCACACTATATTCTACAATCAATTATGAAAATAATCAAAAAAATAAATTACTAATATTGATATGTAGAAACTGAATTGGAGCAAAAATTTATTATTCAATAGTTACACTCTGTTCAAACGATATTAAATTAAAAGGACCCAATAATATCATATTATGCGAGCGTAAGGCAGAAAAATAATCGAATACTCTCCTAGAGCTCCTCAGGCTCTAATGACGTTCCTGAGACGGTTGTTTCATCATCGATAAAATTCTATTCGCTCATACCTCCTCGCGACGGCGACGAGAAAACATTGCGAGGTACTTCGATTTCGTTTTGCCTGTGCTGTCATGCTTAGATAACGTCTCGGTGCCATGATAACGGCCTTTAAGGTAATTTTATATCATATTTCAAAAGCAATTCGAAGCACAATGCTTCGCGATATTGTTTCGTTGCGTTACAACCTTCCATTCAGCGTTCGTATTTCGTTCTATCATTAGTCTAGACGCGACAGTTATCTGCCTATTTCTTTTCTTTTAACACACATATATATATTCACAACGATAGCACGTCGCTGTTAACCTTAATCATGGGGTAAGAACGATATATGTCGTAGTGCAAGTAGAATATATTAATATTGTGACTATCATGCGACACTACAATATTGTATTATTATATTTTATTATGTAACCAATCTTTCCGCACGTGACAGGCGTACATATGATTCAAGTGATTAGGTAAAAGAAAAAAAAGGGAGAAATGTAATATTATATAAATTATCGTATATAATATACAAATGTGTAATGCAAGCATTTGTGTTTCCTATTTTGTAATTAAATTAAATTAAATTTGATTTGATTTTTTAATAAAATAAAATTAAAACTCACGGATATCTCATGTGTGCATTGGACTTTGATTTATTAAAACGCAGCTTATTGCATTATCGCTTATCAACGAGTTATCGACAGAAAGAAGAGAAAGGAAATTAACTGTCAGTTGTTAAAAATAAAATGACACAAATGTGACAATTTATTCTAGTTACATATATAATTATTCGACGTAATATAATCGTACAATCGATTATAATGTTATTGTAGGAAACCAATTCAAATCTATTGTGAATGTCTAAGATGGGTACAAATGCGATGGCACCTCTAATTAGAAGAATTATACCGCAGCTACATTGTTCATGTTATCACAGATATTTCTCAAGGTTAGCACATTTAACGATTTTCGTAATGGGATTTAAGGATATGTCAAGTATCGCCATTCTTAGGCATCTTCATCACCGAAATTCCCTTCGATGACGACGTTTAATAACGATAACACCGTTTAATCTATGTGCAACTACTAACTTCTTACTCAAACTCTCAGACGATGTTTGATAATAAGCTAGAGCCGAGAATTAATAAACATGTCACGTACTTAACGAAGCTAGGTAACTTACTACTAAGTAGAACGGCGAACTGACGTCAAGATTACATTTCCATATAAATTTTCTCATTACAAAGAAACCCTTATTTTTTATATTTTATTATTTTTATTATTTAATATATAATGTATATGTACATATTTCTTTACATACAAAATATATATAATCAATGTTACATTATACAACATATATTCTATAGTGTCTTTTTTCTCTCTAGTTTTATATTTTTCGCTCTTATTCCAAATATTCTATATCAAATTGCGTTAATTCGACTTTTAACTTTATCAACGAGTTTTATACTTATTATTTTTATTATTGATTAATAAAAATTTATAAATTTTGTATCCTTATCTACAGCTCCACTATTAACTTGTGTAAATATTAATCTCTGAAAGGTCTGTATTCAAAAATATTATACATTTGGTGTTAAAATAAATCACCTTAAATTCCGTTGTCTAAAAAAATTCATTAAATTATTCTGCCTTCTCAAATAAAGAACAGAAAGAGAAAGAGAGAGAGCGAGGGAGAGAGAGGGAGCTACATAAATAATTTAGGCGAACTGAATTTTCAGCGGGAGTCAATGTACTGTATACGATTTGGTGATCGTCGGCGGCGGCATCGTCGGATGCGCCACAGCCCGTGAAATGATCATGAGACACCCGAACCTGAAAATGGCAATTGTCGAAAAAGAGAACGCTCTGGCCAAACATCAAACGGGACACAACAGCGGTGTAGTGCACGCCGGCATTTATTATACCCCTGGAAGCATGAAGGTAAACCAAAATAAACCGTGACTTCTCGCAGCTGCAGCTGCTTTGAGAAAGTCGATACCTCTCTTCCCTGTGATAAGATAAAAGGTAGAGACTAACAAGCGGTAAATTAATTCTCTTTATCATCACGTTACGATATGACTTGCTTGTCTCTTTTTGTCCTCTCGTACGCTCTGGGTGTATGACGCAAATTAAATCGATTAAATTGGGAGCAGCTGAGAAATAAAACTAAAGAAATACAGAATTTAAACAGCAAAGGAACTTATTACTTTTATTCAAAAGAAATCATTGATGTCTATTTTTCTGCTGGTACAATGCACGCGTAATGAATAACAAACGGCAGCGATTACTTATAGGCAAAACTTTGTGTGGAAGGTCTGAAGCTCTCGTACGAGTATTTCTGCAAGAACAACATACCTCACAAGAAAATCGGTAAGCTGATTGTCGCCCAGAACCAGGACCAAGTAAAGAGAATAGACGACCTTTTCGATCGAGGTACGAAGAATAATGTTCCGGACCTTCAGATTGTTGAGAAAGACTGCATATCGAAATATGAACCCAAATGTCAGGTATAACGCAAACAAAAAGAATATGCTCGTGTTTGAGCGTGAAAATTGCATTTTTAATATATATCTCAGAAATGCACATCTTTTTAGCTATGAATTGGTTGTCCAATTTTAAGCCAATCTTAATAATAAATCGGGTTCGAGGTGTCATCGTCCTCATAATCGTTCAATGTTCTGTATCTGCTAAAAAAATACATATGCGAAAATATAATTCGTGGACGTGTAAACATCGTATCTGTTCACAGGGTGAGAAAGCCTTATGGTCACCGTGGACCGGCATAGTAGACTGGACAATAGTGTGCCAACACTTTGCGAACGATTTTCAGAAGATGGGAGGTGAGATTTTTCTGAACTTCGAAGTGACGGGATTCACGGAGATGGCGGAGTCGAAAGGGCAAAGTGAACTAAGTCCTATATCCGTACAGTCCAAGAATCGCGTGAGAGAATCTCTCCTAATCTAATCGCGCACCTTGTTGTACGTTGTAATGGTAATCGCCTCGACATCTAACGCTTCGACTATTTTCCTTTTGAAGTGTATACCAGCGAAGAACGTGCTGACGTGCGCCGGTCTGCATTCGGATCGCTTGGCGGTGATGACGGGCTGCGATTTGAGTCCACGTATAATCCCTTTCCGCGGCGAGTACCTTCTGCTGAGCGAGAGCAAGCGGCATCTCAGTACGACTAACGTGTACCCGGTACCCGATCCCAGATTTCCATTTCTAGGTGTACACTTTACACCCAGAATGAACGGCGATATCTGGCTAGGTCCCAATGCTGTCCTGGCGTTCGCTAGAGAAGGCTACACGTGATTATTAACACAATCCTTGTTTTCTTACGAAACGTAATATTATCGAATAACCCCGGTAAAATTGGCAAAATTGCCAAATATACATCTAGATGCAATTATTAATACATTAAGAGAAATAACTAGTGGTCTACATAACGTATAAGATAACGCTGTTAAAACTGTGTGTAATTACTTCTCTTTCAGCTGGTTCGATGTAAATATAAGAGACTGCATAGAAATGGCGAAATTCCCCGGCTTGTATAAGCTGTGCTTCCGATACTTTATACCGGGCTGCAAAGAGGTGATAAAATCGATTTTCTATCCGCTGGCGGTAAAGGACTTGCAAAAGTTTATTCCGGAAGTTACGTACAAGGATGTCAAAAGGTCAGCATTCTCCGTACGGTGGTTTCCGCTATCATAAAAGCCTAACGAATTCCCTATAATTAAATCTTGTTAACAGAGGGCCGGCGGGTGTAAGAGCACAGGCGTTGGATAAAGACGGTAAACTAGTCGACGATTTCGTTTTCGATTCCGGCACCGGTACTATCGGAAACAGAGTGTTGCATTGTCGAAACGCGCCTTCGCCCGCTGCAACTAGCTCTATGGCGATAGCGAAATTTATTGCCGATAAACTTGACGCCGACTTTAAGTTCTAACGTAACGATACAATCGACATCAGCATGCATGATTACTTAGTCGATCAAATAAGAAACGAAACAGGAGAGACGGGCATTTTTAACGAAAAATGCTTCTAAAGAGGCTAGATGTATATTTTTTTTGAGTCAAATAATATTTCGTATAATATTGCTAAGTAATTTGGTCTTCCAGGAAATAAAATGTATATGCATACATATATTTAATGTAAAATCTAAATTAATATTCTAAGAGATTTTCTTCTGCAAAAAAATTGATACTGCTATCTACGAGGCTTTCTAAGAGCTGCGATTGGTACTGTTAAGTAAATCGTCTAAACCTCTTCTAATTTTTGGAAGTCAGAAATATCGAGATTTTAGATAAAAATAGTATGTACATTACTGCTTAAGTATATATATATATATATATATTAGGGGGACCGGAAAGTAACGTCGTTTCTGCGCATGTCGATATTCGTTTGTCATTTATCAGCTCATTGTGTACTTCAAAGTCCTGCCAAAGATATTTTAATGTTAGAATAACTTGTTTACTTGTAAATAATTAAATCTTAAGTTTTTTTTTGCAATTTATGGTGAAATGGCCAGCCAAATACCAGAAGAGGTACATATCCGGCATTGTATGCTTTTTGAGTTTCGCAAGGGTAGTAACGCAACAGTTGCTACCAAAAACATTTGCGATGTTTATCCAAGTGCATTAGACGTTTGTAAATTCCAAAGGTGATTTTCTAAGTTCAAATCCGGTAATTTTGATTTTCCCTACTTGTACCGATTAGGAAGAGCAACAACTTTAGACAATGACATGTTAAGGGCGGAAGTGGAAGCAAATCCGTGTCAGACAATCGAGGAACTGTGAAACACTCTTAACCAACCTTGGTCGACTATCCAAGGACATTTGCAACAGATTGGTAAAGTAAGCAGAGCAAGTGTTTGGGTCCCGCATAATCTGTCCGAAAAAAACAAAACTAACCGATTCACCATATGCAACTTATTGCTTCAACGGTGCAATACAGAAGCGTTTTCTGATCGCTTGATCAATGGAGACGAAAAATGGGTCCTGTATGATAATCCAAAACGCAAAAGGCAGTAGCTCTCTCCGAATAAATCGCCACAAAATACTGCTAAGCCAGGTTTACATCCCAAAGAGGCGCTTTTATGTGCTTGATGGAGTATTCGCGGAATCGTTCATTTTGAAATGCTGAAACCTGGACAAAATGTGAATTCAGACCTTTATTGTGAACAATTGGATTGAGTAAATCAATTTTTAATTGAAAAGTGTTCAGCGATTGTCAACAGAAAAGGCGTTATTCTGCAACATGATAATGCAAGACCGCACTGCGCAAGACGAACCCTGGAAAAAATTAATGAATTGGGGTGGGAGGTACTGCCTCACCCACCATACTCGCCCGATATTTCACCATCGGATTTCCATTTATTCCGATCGCTACAACACTTTCTACGTGACAAAAAATTTGAAAATTTAGATGATATCCAAAATGCCCTCCCCAGATATTTTGCTCAAAATCCAATTGAATCTTATCGATCTGGCATTGAAAATTTGCATATTAGATGGCAAAAGGTTGTTGATAACGAGAGTGATTACATCATTGTTTAAAAATTAAAACTTGTTAAAAATTTATCTGTTTGAATTTAATGTGAAAAAACGACATTACTTTCCGGTCCCCCTAATATATATATATATATACGTAACGTTCAACCTGTGATGTATATAAAATACTATTAAATGATTCGCACTCCATTTCCTGATACCATCAGACGCGTTGTGGCAAAATCCAATGCCGCAGTCAGATGAAATCCCATGTTTGAAAGCACAACTCCGTATTCGCTCAATGCAAACATTGAATACACTGAAATTATATAGTTGTCCTGAGATAATAAGAAAGACGTTGCAACAATGACAGTGTCAATTGATATTATCTTACCGAAAGGTTCGCAGTATTTATTATGCCTATAAAAGAAATAGCACGCTATTATTATACATAATACGTTTAACATCATTGATCTCCGTTTCCACTTCAAGGAAGCAGCATCAAACCAGTCTTTTGTAACGTTTCGACAATTCCTCATAATATAATACATTAGGAACATGTGTATAAAGGACGTTATCAAAAATGTTATGAAAGACATCTTATGGAATGCTGTAAATAATGCAACATCATATGTTAATCATACTACATCATATAATGCATATAATATTTCGTTCTCCTCTTTTTAGCTGAACCGACTGAACTAGTTCAAATAATTTACACATGTTGAAACATGAGAATCTTGTACATATCATATGTTCTAATATATATGTAAATTTCCTGAACTAGTACAGTTCAGCAAAAAAAAGCAAAGAACTAATTCCTATGCATATTGAAGAATATTCATGCATATATTTTGCATACCATAATTCTCATCGGAAGTCCAAAAGCTCAGTGTCACAAGAGACATATTTTCAACGATGTACATAATAAGCGCAATATTACTCAAATATCGCGCCCAGTTGTAAACATGCTCCTTATAGAAACGATAGTACATCATACATACTAAAATTCTGACAATAGCTTGTAACGCTATGGCAGTTTTCCATATATCTCTCTGAGGTTTGTAATGACCGATGGCTGCCGAGACAGAGGGTAAAAAATTGTATACCTAAAAATATATTAGAGTAAAGAACTATTTCTTATGAACACTTTATATTCATAAATCAAAGATCTTGTTATTTCAAAGTCCTTTAGTCGACATGATCAATTAAAAACTTTTCCTCTTGTATCAGAGACTTATCAGAAAAAGAATTACAAACCGTCATTCACATCCATAACACTCGCGTCATGTTCAGATCTTGAATTATAAGACAAGAACACAATTATCACTTGATTGATTGATAATTATACCTGGCAATGCGTAGAGGTGGAGTGCTCGAAATTATAGAGGACCGACCAGGCGACACAAAAGACAAACGCCAGGAACGGCAAGGTCACGGTGAACCATGCCACTTTGGCGAACGATATGACGACGCGAGTCTTCGACATGTCGTCGTCTGTTAATGGAATATACTCTGACCCTAATCTAAGCTTGCCCATGATATTCTCCCCCGGCTATCGCCGACCGCAGTCTCTACGTCATAGTAGCACGCGGCACGCGAGGTTTAAGGTTAACGAACGCGCTAATTCGAAAACTCCGTCACTGTGGTACGCGCGCGATATTCTTACACGCGCTTGTTTGCGAGTTTTCCTCGATGTGATTGCGATACATCGTGATTCATGTCTCGATGCGATAGAAAGATCGTGCGTAGCGATCAGCACAGGCTCGCGAAAATCGTCCACTGATACGCGTACTGGCATCGTGTCGGTGTGATGTGAGGTTAGGTTGCGACCCGAGCGCGTTGTCGCATTTGCGCAATTGATCGAACGTGAAGAGTAGGAGAGAGTTTACGTTTTGGCGCATTGCCGTTGTCGCAACGTAACGCATTCACGACGATTTTATCTATGTTTACACACGAAATGACTCTTCACGCCATGTCGCTGCAGCGTCGGTGAGTAACACGTAGCTTCGATGAATTTAATTCCGCAAAATATTAAAGCCCATTGCATTGGAGGTTAATCTAAATATTGGCGATTGTACAAACTCTCTTAAAGTTATCAATTTTTAACACTTTGCGATCCGCGGCCATCCGAAGATATTTGACTAATGTGATTAAACTTATCGAAGGCATAATACGAAATTAGCCGCGCTTATTCGGTTTTTTCTTCTTATACAAATGTTGATATCTAAAATCATTATATCTAAAACACTGTATAGAAGGCGCATTCTTTCTCTCTCTTTCTTTCTCTCGTATTCACTGTAATTTGCCACGTCATATATTAAATTTGTTCTTTTTTTTTAATTTTGTGTGTAGGTGCACCGTATTACACTTTCTGTGTAGAAAATAAAACTACTGTATATATAATACTATAAATACTATATATATGTATATATATATAATACTGTATATATAATACTATAAATACTATATATATGTAATCATATGATAAAGAAAAATAGAAGGAAAAGAAACATTACAGGAAGTATATATATACAGTCAGAGGAAACAGATGTTTTTACGATAAAATTTTGTATAATTTCGGGATATTTTTCTTGTCGACATTATTGTCGAATTTCGAAACGCGTAAGTTTATTTTATCTCACGACCGACAGATGGCGACAATGTGTCGAATTCGATCAGCTGACGTCGCGTCGTTCGTTGTGTCGGAGTTCTAGTGTTGTACGCTATTTTTATGAAACATTGTTTTATCGCAAATATATTTGTAACTTCAATCGATTTGTAATCTTGAACATGGAAAATTGCGCATGCCATAGTGCTCCTTGTTCTTAATTCGACGCAACGATAAAGTGAGATGGTCTGTTAGTGAACGTGTAGCTTTTCGTAGTTGTGAGGTTATGTGAGAAACACTGTAGATGTTTTGTATTTTTGTCTCAGAAATTGACGGAAATTAATGAAGCGCTGAATTGATCCGTCCATTGTTAACGAGGGATTAATAAGACATCATCAAGGAATATAAACACCAAAATGTAAGTAATTCGACTCTTTATTTTTTCTTTATTTATAAACATATATGTAAATTGACGAATTCACATAAACCACACTGATGAATATCGTGCGAATATGATTACAGTGTTGTTGAAACTCGTGTGATACACTAAATACAATACAAAAATGCTAAACTGTATCAGACGAAAGGTATCTTTCTTTGCAGTTAAATCTCAAAACTCAAGATCGAATTTATTATTGAAAGTTTAGTTCCGATGTATTCGAAATTCGAAATTTTTATATATAATTGAAATGGCAGATTTTTAAGAAAGTTTAGATTTGAAAAATAGGAAAAAGAACATTAACTGAAAATTTTACGAGCCACAAGGCGATCTTTATTTTTTCGCCAATTTTGAGCTGACTTGTGTATAGCAATCTCACTGTATACACATATCAGAAAGATATTACACACGAACGATTTCTCGAATGTCGTGACGTTTGCTTATATCGAGAACACAATTTCAGCACAACGCTATTCACTGCAATATCGCGTTCGATATGGCACACAACGTTCGCTTCATTTATGGCCTCTCTACACAATGCACGTAAAATGTATATAAAAATGCTTCGGTTCCCATAATAAGTGTATCAAACAACATCCATATCGTGTATTCTAATATTTTGTTCTTTTTGCGTGGAATCCTTTTCTATGAAATAACGTAACCGAAAATGCCGATATTTTTCCTTATCGCTCAACGCATTTAAAATCTTGAGATTGTTTTAATTCAAGGAACTGTGTGCGTAATTCTCGTTTGCATATCAATATCATTCCAAGTATAATTTTTCTGCTAAACATAAGCTCTCATTGCACGTAACGACTTGCAATTTTTACAAAATCACATTTGATAAAGTATGGTCGCAATTAATTTTTGTCACGCGTATCCTGACTCCATAATAGAAACCACGAGTATGGTAATTATGAAGAGAAGATGTAATTATATCCTTCCACGTTTGCGGGAAAATTTAATTACTTGCTGTTACCGGTCCAAAGCCATTATGTGATATCGTTAAATAAAAAGATCAAAGACGTGATAACCATTATACGCAAAATATATTTAATAAATTGTTTAGGACCTCTTAGATTTCCTTCGCTTATTTGTTGCGCGTCGCAATTGTGCGAGCACGTGCTTCATACCCTAGTCGACGTCTCAACTTGCGAGCACATACTTAGGAGGTAAATCCGCTCCCCGTATTATTCAGCAAACTTGCGGCGAGTTAACGCAATATGTCATGGAGGGTACGTTAGCGGAGAACAGATAATGCAACGACACATACATTATATTAGGTCTAGTAAAAAGTAATCCATTATTTTTCCAATAGAGGGCTTTATTAAACTGTATCTCGCGTTGTATAAGTCCGATCGGATTACGTCAGATGGCGTTAGAAAGATAAGATTTCGTACTAAAAAAACCTCTCAGACAGTTTTGTGATTGCTTGACTCAGTATTGTTTGAGCGCGCGTCAAAGATGGACACCAGCAAAGAGAAAATACGCCATATTTTACAGTTTTTCTTCGATAAAGGCGAAAACGCAAGCCAGGCGGTTAAAAATGTGAATAGTGTTTATGGTCTTGATACTGTAAGAGTCAATCACGCGCAATTTTGGTTTCGTCGATTCAGTTCCGGTAATTTTGATGTCAAAGATGCACCACGCTCCGGGAGGCCAATTGTCGAAAATGTTGATAAAATAATGGAAATCGTCGAGTCCGATCGTCATGTAAGCACCGTTTCGATTGCCAAGAAGCTAAACATTGCACAAAAAACCGTTTGGAACCATTTAAATGAGGCTGGATTCAAAAAGAAGCTCGATGTGTGGGTGCCGCACGAGTTAACGCAAAAAAACCTCATGGATCGAATTTCCATCTGCGAATCGCTGCTGAATCGCAACAAAATCGATCCATTTCTGAAGCGGATGGTTACTGGTGATGAAAAGTGGGTCAATTACGACAACGTCAAGCGAAAACGATCGTGGT